GGTGGGGAGGGAAAGATGTCTTTGGTGGTGGGGTCGGATTGCAGATGGCGGAAGTGTCGGAGGATGATGCGTTGGATCCGGAGGTTGGTGGGGTGGTACGTGAGGACGAGGGGGATTCTTTTTTGGTTTTTATTGCGTGGACGGGGTGTGAGGGATGAGGTGCGGGAGATGTGGGAGACACGGTTGAGGGCGTTCTCGACCACCGAGGAGGGGAAGTTACGGTCCTTGAAAAACGAGGACAACTGAGATGTACGGGAGTGGAATGCCTCATCCTGGGAGCAGATGCGGCGGAGGCGAAGGAATTGGGAATAGGGGATAGCATTTTTGCAGGAAGGTGGGTGGGAGGAGGAGTATTCTAGGTAGCTGTGGGAGTCGGTGGGCTTGAAATGAATATCGGTTTCCAGGTGGTTGCCCGATATGGAGACAGAGAGGTCCAGGAAGGGGAGAGAGGTGTTAGAGATGGTCCAGGTAAACTTAAGGTTGGGGTGGAAGGTGTTAGTGAAGTGTATGAACTGTTCGAGCTCCTCGTGGGAGCACGAGGCGGCACCGATACAGTCATCAATGTAACGGAGGAAGAGGTGGGGTTTAGGGCCGGTGTAGGTACGGAAGAGGGATTGTTCCACGTAACCTACAAAGAGGCAGGCGTAGCTTGGGCCCATGCGGGTACCCATGGCTACCCCCTTTGTCTGTAGGAAGTGGGAGGAATTGAAAGAGAAGTTGTTGAGTGTGAGGACGAGTTCGGCTAAGCGGATGAGGGTATCAGTGGAGGGGGACTGGTCGGGCCTGCGGGACAGGAAGAAGCGGAGGGCCTTAAGGCCATCTGCATGGGGAATGCAGGTGTAGAGGGACTGGACGTCCATGGTAAAGATGAGGTGTTGGGGACCGGGGAATTGGAAGTTCTGGAGGAGGTGGAGGGCGTGGGTGGTGTCACGGACATAGGTCGGGAGTTCCTGGACCAAGGGGGAGAAAATGGAGTCTAGATAGTTGGAGATCAGTTCGGTGGGGCAGGAGCAGGCGGAGACAATGGGTCGACCAGGGCATTCAGGTTTGTGGATTTTGGGAAGGAGATAGAAGCGGGCAGTGCGAGGTTGGGGAACGATGAGGTTGGAGGCCGTGGGTGGGAGGTCACCTGAGGTGATGAGGTTGTGGATGGTTTGCGAGATGATGGTTTGGTGCTCAGGGGTGGGGTCATGATCAAGGGGGCAGTAGGAGGAGGTGTCGGAGAGTTGGCGTCCGGCCTCGGCGATGTAGAGGTCAGTGCGCCATACTACAACTGCGCCTCCCTTGTCCGCGGGTTTTATGGTGAAGTTGGGATTGGAGCGGAGGGCTGCATGTTCTGCAGGGGAGAGGTTGGAGTGGGTGAGAGGGGTAGAGAGGTTGAGGCGATTGATGTCTCGACGGCAGTTGGAGATGAAGAGGTCGAGGGAGGGTAGGAGGCCTTGGGGTGGTGTCCAGGAGGAGGGGGTGTGTTGGAAGCGGGAGAAGGGGTCAGTAGAGGGAGGGTTAGGTTCACGGTTAATATACAAAATTACCCTGAATGCATTTCATTTCTCCACCTCTGCCCTTGCACTCATTATTATGTGATTCTGGCTGTACTTCCCAGAGGAACCATTACTGTCAACAGTGTTGAGAACAGACAACTGGTTGGTGAACGAAACACATTTGAGGAATTCACCTGAAATTTCTTGACTGTTTGTCAGTTACCCAGCTCTATGCAAGCACAGGGGGAAAGTGTTAATGCAAACCTGGGCCCAACTTCAGGTATATTAGACCTAAATATAGTTTGGTTTTTAAACTGCGATGTGGTGAACATTGTGTTCACTATTCATCACTCCTCAACAATTGCCTGTCAGTTTAAAGCCGACTAAATAATTCAGTGGGTGAAAATCTATATTTCTTAGCTGGTTGGCTGGACAGCTAGTTTGCAAAGCAGAATGGCACCAATAACATGACTTCAAGTCCTGTACCAGCTGAGGCCACAGTGAAGATCTCACCTTCGTGGCCTTGCCCCTTGCCTAAGGTTGGCCCCAAGGTTAAACCACCACCAGACATCTACCTCTAATAAACTATGGTGTTCTAGGACTGTGGTGACTTTATGTTACCTTGCCTTGCCCTTTTTTCTTCAGATTGGGGTTTACAAGCCACAATGACCTTACAAGTACCTCCCATTTTTTTTCAGAAGAATAGTACTGTAGTAGAGTAAAACAATAAGGATGTGTATAACTTAATATTTTATCAATTTTAGTGCCTCGACCAGGAGCAGGGCGTTTCATGGATAAAAAATGAGAGACTCTCAGCATTCCTTAAGAGTGACTGTTACTTTGAGTACAGGTAAAATCTCCAATTTTTTTTCCTACAAGTGATTATTATTTTGCTAATTACCTTTGGTACCACTATGACAGTCATATTCTCAATTGTTGCAGAGAGTGCTTTGTTAGTATTTATTAAAGTATACATTAATTAGTTTGTACAAGTGTACAGAAAGCTACCTTGAAAATTGTGGTCTTTCAATGGTGGTACAACTGTGGATTATCTGCCAAGGGTGTTTTATTATCCATGCAGTATGAGGAATGCGAAAGATTTCATGTCGGTTTTCCTTTCTCTTAATAGCAATGTTTCAAGCTCTGTTGTTTGCTCCAAAGAAGAAAAAATTTGCAAAAAATAGTAAAATACGTCTTTAGCTCTTTGACAGGATTTTTAACTCAAATACAAATGTTTTGAAAAGTTCAAATTGGATTGGTTTGGGCCTCACTGGTACAAGAGGAAGTAGAAACCAGGCTGTTACTGTCACACTCCATTCTGCACCCACTGTGGTACTTGTGGAAACAGTGACCCAAATGGTTACAATTAAACCGGGAATCAGGGCACATCGTCTCAGCACCAAGCTCATGACAGTCCACATTCCTAGCTGGGCAACTGGCTTTTGGCAGGCACTATCGTAGCTGTCATTGCTGCCTGGTGTAAGTTACCACACATTTCTTAATGAATTGTATAAGAATAAGTAAACAACCCCTCTTGGGCCATTGACAATTTTGTAAATGTCCACTGCATTACAGACTATTGGCTTGAGTGCTTTCAGAAAGAGGCTCTTGAAACTTAAAGTCAAAATAGTGCCCTCATCATCCCTTTTGTGCTGGTAACAGCCAAAGACCCTTTCTGCAAATAAACTGTCACTTTCGGCAGTGCCTTGTGTGATTTAGGACTTCACAAAATTCAATATTCTTTTACCTTAAGACCCTCCTAACATTCACTTTTACCTTCTCAAAGCTAACTTTGAACTAAATGTCTTGGTCCATCTTGAGTCTTAATCTTTTGGTTCTAGGTTGACCTGCTTAATGCCATCTTTCTCTAACTCTGGTTGTGAGGTTTTAAAAATGTTCGATGTGATAAGGAGGTGTTTGGTATTTACACCATTATTAATCACAATTCTTCCAGTGGTGTCTTAACCCCATCAGAGGTAATGGACCTGTGAGTGTCATGCTATTGCCCTTTCTCCTAAGCTTTGTAGATGAGGGTGGTGCCTTATCACTTCTTGCTACCCTTTCAACCTTAGCCTGTCCTGTGACTTAGTCTTGTCTGACCACACAGACAGCATTTTCTCATCACATAGGAGCTGCAGAGCAGGGGAGTTTTCAATTATGTTGTTCTGGAAAGGTCAGGGTCATCCACCCTGGATCTGAAGACAGCAGCCACTTTTGCCTGCTGCTGCCTGGTTTGTATCTGGAGCTGTCTGATTTTAGCTAAACATCGGGGTCAGATTGTTGCCAAAAGAACTTTCTCAAGGCCCCCTTTACATCTTCTAACTCTTCACTCAGTCTGCAGTTGTTCATTAGCTCGCTGAGCCGGTTGTTCTGTGGAGTGCAGATGTTTCGTTACCCTTCTAGGCAACATTGTCAGTGCGGCCTCGAATCAAAGTGTTGGTGTTCTGCTTCCTTGTGGATTTGTATGATCCTCTGGTGTGATGGTCCTGTCGCTTCTGGTTCTGTTGTTTTTGCAGCAGGTCTGTATACGGGGTCTATTTCTACAAGTTTGTTAATGGAGTCCCATGTTGAGAACTAGGCTTCCAGAAATTCCCTTGCATGTCTGGTGTTTGCTTGTCCCAGCATGGTCAATTTGTCCCAGTCAAACTGGTGGCCTCATTGTCTGTGTGTATTGAGACAAGTGAATATTGGTGGTGTCTTTTTACTGCTGGCTCGTGTTTGTTTATCATGGTCATCAGTCTGTAATTTTCTGTGTGTAACCCAGGGAGCCAAATCTTTCGGTCTCAGGACGGTAAACAAAGAAAGGAATCAGAATAGTTCCTGAGCTTCTAAGGAGCCACAGCATACTGATGTCAGATCACATGGAGTCCAGGTCCAGAGGGTTCCAAAAGATGTCCTCTCTTACTAACCCTTGCATTTAGTTATGTTTAATAAAGCCTGTTCATTTTCAAGAGGAGGAGGTGGTATAGTGGTAATAATGTGGTTGTGGATGGGTAAAAAATGCTGACGCTACATCCCATGAATGAAATATTTTAAAAATCTCACTTCTGTGTAGACTTCATCTTACATAAGTTTGACTGAGGTTTTGTTCCTATTATCAATTTCAGACTTGCAAAATTGCTGTCTCAGTTAGACTGCCACACTAGGCCCGGTACACAACGTGTAGACAGTGCATACCATCCATGGGTTGTTCTATCAGAAAGAAAAACCATCCCTACAGTGGTAGACAAAGCTGAACTTGCCATGAAAGAATTGTACATCTGCCTTGGACAGGTAATGGCAAACTGGTGTCAGATTACAGAGTGCCTTTTATACCAGTAGTGTCATTGTGTCTTCCTCTGTTTTAAATCTATTAAAATAACAGCAGGGCTGTATTTTTATTGTTTAATATTACACTGATAGCATGATATAGAGTAAAACAAATTGAGAAAGTAAAGTTTAAATTTGAAAATTTAAGTTTGTAACATCTCAGTTTTCAGGTAAATGGTTCAATTTAAAATAGGAATGTATTTCAGATATTAATATAGTTAAAGATTGTGACTAGTGCATTTAAAAATATTAAGTATCTCATTAGTATATAGTGGAGGGTTTATATAGTTGGTAGAAGGGCCTTCAAAAATTAGAATAGTTTATATGCCATTTTGCTTCTTCCCAGTAAAAAGCTGTGCTGTGTGTATTGATTCACAACTTAACAAAGAACTGATTGCATTAACAAAGAACTGATTTCACTTAATGAAGATCTAATTGCTTTAACAAAGAACTGATGTGTTTTAACAGGCTGACTGCTCCAGTAATGCTGCTTAGCCTGCTGTGTTCATCCAGCTCTGCACCTTGTTGTCGAGCACTTTACAGTTTGCTGGTTGTCTATTACCTTGATGCTGAGCAGTTACTGCATCAGCTTCTTTTTATCATATGCTCTTGAGCCAGATCATTGTCCAGAGCAATTTGTATCTGTCCCAGAGTTAATGACTTAGAAAAAAAATGCAACAGTCAGTATAAACAGACAGATAGGAAGGATGAACTGAAATTTGGAGTGAAGAAACAGAGTGCAAATAACTTTTAAGATTTCACAAAGTGGTAAACAAAAAGAGAGAGATCCTTACAACATGCATTGTTCAGATGCAGTTCTGCTGTTTTCTTAATTAACTGAATGCACAATCGACTGACATGCTGTGGAGCATAAATTTTAAATAATTAACAATATAACAAATTTGCTTTGATAGGCTTCTGTTAGCCAAACTAAAGCGTTGTTCACAGAGGCCAAAGAAGAAATTCCACTGATTGTCATCCAGTCAGACCACAGGCCTACGTTTATGACTGGGACACCTGTACCATCACCAAGAGCTTCCTTGCAAACTTTAAGAAATGAAGACTCTAGTAAGACACTATTTTCATGGTCCTTGACAAAAAGAGTTACATAAGCATTCTTAGACAGAACTTTACCGAATTTCCATTCAGAAGTGTGAATTATATAATTTTCATGGCAATTTAATAAATCATTAACTCATTTTTAACAACAGCTTGTTATAATATTGCATCTTTAATTTTTTGAAACAAAACAAAGGGTCCAGTGACCCTTCCTCAGAACTTCAAATTTTTTGAAGTTTTTTGGGTATCATTTAATGGATGCAGCTGCTTATTTTTCAGTTAGAGACCACTTTATTAAAATGAAATAAAAGGTTAACAAGCCAGATTTCAGTCTGGGATCTGACTAATACAATAATAACATGAGCTGGGATCATAAAAAGCCATAGAAAGCCAGACATAGTGTAAAATAAGGTGAGGTACACAGTGCTTTTAAAAGGAGCACATCATTGGAGTGCAAACATTGGGAATTTAGTGAGATAAGAAATCTTTGGATAAAATGTTGACCTGTACATTTCAAATTCAAATCATATTTAACATTAGAATTTAACTTCGAACTTATAAACTGTAAAAGAACCTGCAAGCAGGCTTGCAGAAATTGCATGCCCTTTGCAGTGAACTGTCAATGAGCTAAGGATGGAACAAAAACGGAAGTTACTGGAAAAGCTCAGCAGGTTTGGCAGCATCTGTGAAGAAAAAATCAGAGTTAGCATTTCGGGTCCGGTGACCCTTCCTCAGAACTTTTGGCTTTTATTTAATGAGCTAACGGTTTTTGCCTGGATACTGTACTGTTCATTGGAAAAGGATAAAACTGCATACTTGAAAGGTCAGATCATTGGTCAGAAAATGAAGAATGGCAGAGAGTGATTGAAATATTAATCAGGATGAATAAATTAAGAGTATGAGTGGACGCTAGTTAGGAATGTAAAAACAGGTATTTAAAAAGGAAATGTGTGAGTAAAGTGAGTGTTGGTTCTGTACAGAATGAGAATGGAGAGTTAATTGTGGATAAATAATGTTGTGAGGAGGATGTAGTAGGTTGATTACATGATTAAAAATCTAGTAGATGGAGTATAATGTGGGAAAAATAGGAAGTTGTTCACGTTGATAGAAAGAATGAGAAAGCAGTGTATTACTTAATGAAGATGGAATGTGGAGATCTGAAGTGCAGAGGGATCTAGGTGTTCTAGAGCATGAGTCACAAAAAACTCGCATGCAGATACAGCATATAATTTAGAAAGCTAATTGAATGCCATCTTTTATTATGAGAGAAATTGAACATAAAAGTGAAGATGTTATGCTCCGGATATACTGAGCACTCTCGAATACTATGTGCAGTTTTAGTCTTATTTATGGAAGGAGGTAAATTAATTGAGGTCATTCAGAAAAAGTTTACTCAACTGATACCTGAAATGAACAGGTTGTCTTGTGAAGAAGTTAGACAGACTGGGCTAGTTTCTACTGGAGTTTAGCATAGTTGAGGGATGACCTGTTTAAAATATATAAAGTCCTGATTGGATTTCATGAGGTGTATGTGGAAAGGATGTTTCCCGTTTGATGGTCATTCTAGAAATAGGGGGTGCAATTTAAAAATTAAGGGTCACCCATTGTAGGACAGAGATGAGAGGATTTTTTTCTGTCAAAGGTATGTGCAACTTTGGAATTCTCTGACTCATAGGGTCATGGGAACAAGATCATTGAATAGTTTTAAGATTATAGATAGATAGATTCTTGATTGGCTAGAAAATCAAAGGTTCTGGAGGGTAGATAGGAAGGTGGGCTTTGAAACACAAACAGATTGGCCGTGATTTTATTGAATAGTGGAGCAGGCATGAGGGGCTGAATGAGCCACCTCTACTGCTATATCATATGTCTGTATGTCAACATCTGTTTCTCGACCAGATGATATCAGCCTTGAATTTGAGTTATATATCTTGATTTTGCCACAAAATCATTGCCTTTTTTCTGTGGGGGAATTATATTTCTTAAAATCAAATTTTTTTCAGATTTTTCACTCTTGCATGATGTTATGATGAGCGTTGAAGCTGGAATGTTGCCAGTTAGAAATAAAACTAGCAGACAGCACTCGAATAAAACACATTTCGAAACTGATCATGATCAGTGCACTGCTGGACATAACAAGCCACAGGTTGTGGATAATGAATTATTTGAATTTGTTCCTGAGTACCCTTTGCAGGCACCAGCAACAATTTTTCTGACAGCGAGGTCTGAGATTGAAACTGAAGAAAATGAAGATCAATACAGCACTGAAAATTCAATAGAAATCCAAGAGGAAGAAGTTAGTATAGTTAGTGGAACAACAGAAAGCTCAGAGACCAAACTCCCTTCTAAACCTGATGAAACAGAACCTCCTTTGAACAAGAATCCAGTGATTGACACTCATGTGGTGCCAACGTCAACTGTTTTAAAAGGTTCTGAGCAGAATGGGGACGCATCATCAGAAGAGAGTAACAGTACAACTTCTCAAGGTTTAACGAAAGGTGTGGAAGAGGAAAGTATAGAAACTGATTCTTCCAGTGAAGATGATGATATTAGACATGTCTGCTATGCTACACCACATCATCATTATAATTTAAAGAACAGAAAGGGAATTGAAAAGTTCAAGAAGTTTCTCCAGGGAACAGCTGGCGAGAAGTACTGGTGGCTGTGGATGGATATTGAAAGATTAAAAATTATCGAGGATGACAAAAAGAGACAAAGGTTAGTCAAAGGTTCAATTTGCAAACACAGACATGATTTTTGAAATTGAGACAGGTGTGCTAGACCTGTCTTGGTAAAAAGTACCATGTTGTATGCAAATTCACTTCATAGGGATACATTTCGAATGGAGTCAGGCCCAACAACTTAGGAAGCAGGGCATAGGTGTCCATGAAAGTGAGCGAGTGCCACTGTGGACTGGTTAGAAGATCTTCTTCAGCTCTCAGGGACTTTGTCCAGGTTATTTCAGATGCTGTTAGGACCCCTAGCCCTCATTCATACCACCCCTGCCATCCCACCCCCATAGCTTCCATGCCAATTCATGCCACGCATGCAACCCCCATACCCCCTCCCACCACCCCCACCGCCTCCCTCAGAAGGCTGTCTTACCTCCATGCCACCTGCATCACCACTCATCCGGTATCCACCATGAGTCAGACCTCAGGAGTTATTTGAACATGAGAGAAGGTAAACATCTAACATACTGTCATTCAAAAGCTTGATAATAAAGAAACTCCAGTTGAAAATTTTTAATTCTCCTCAAGAGGTTAATCCCTTTAAGGAATGAACAAACTGCCACTCAGATCAAATCCTTTAATAACCTTTCTAAACCGTCAGTCAATCAATGAACTTTGAAATCCCTGCTGCAATAATTGTAGCTTTTTAATCTCAAAGAAATCTGTTGATATGCACAACCAGAAGCACATGATTCAGAGATAGTAGGAACTGCCAATGCTGGAGAATCTGAGATAACAAGTGTACAGTTGAATGAATAGGGACGGCACGGTGGTTCAATGGTTAGCACAGCAACCTCACAGTGCCAGGGACCCGGGTTTGATTCCAGCCTCAGGCGACTGTCTGTGCAGAGTTTGCACATTCTCCCCGTGTCTGCGTGGGTTTCTACTGGGTGCTCTGGTTTCCTCCCACAGTCCAAAGATGTGCAGGCTAGGTGGATTGGCCATGCTAAATTGCCAGGGGTGTGTGGGTTATAGGGGGATGGGTCTGGGTGGGATGCTCCAAGGGTCGGTGTGGACTTGTTGGGCCGAAGGGCCTGTTTCCACACTGTAGGGATTCTATGAATCTATGAACACAGCAGGCCGAGGAGCAGGAAAGCTGACGTTTCGGGTCTGGACCCTTCTTCAGAAAAATGAAGAAGGGCCCAAACCCGAAACGTCACCTTTCCTGCTCCTCTGATGCTGCTTGGCCTGCTGTGTTCATCCAGCTCTACACCTTGTTATCTCAGAAGCACATGATTTTTTTTTCCTAACTTGCAGCAGATTGTCTGTCTATTAGAGACTCCAGAAATATCTGAATGATGTCTCACTATGTCCACTTACTGATTCCCAGTCTAATGACAAGACCTTGTTGATTTTGGCCTGTCTTGGGGCTGCCCTATCTCTACATCAACAATGACCTTGACTAGGATTACCCTGCCAATTTCCAGAAACTCCCATTCCATTGAAGTCGGAGTGGCCATGACCATATTCCTCTTTTTAAGTTGCAGCCTCTAAGTTGTGAGCTGTCCTCCCACAATGAGAAAAGTCAGTATGTCAGGAGTATGAGGTGATAATTGGCTTCTGAGCATGGAGGGTAAAGACTTGAGATAACTGAGAAATGACAACAAGTAGGCAAGTGTATGGTGAGTGTAATTGAGGGTGAGATTTGAGGATGAGGCTGCAGAGAGAAAAATGGCCAGAGGCTTGCTGTTTAGGAACTTTCTTGGGAGGTGAGAGAAGGATGGTTACCAGCTGAAAGTTGTGGGAGCATCATCTTACCAGATTTTATGTGATCTTTGAATAAATGCTGGCACTAGATTCAGGTTCTCTGCATGATTTGTTGGCCAGTGAGAGCCGCAAAGACTTGAAGCTGACTTGCTTGTTCAGGTATGAAAACAAAAAATGATGTAAATCACAGCAAGTCAGGCAGCAAAAATGGAGAGAGAACAAGCTAATGTTTCGAGTCCAGATGGGTCTTCATCAGAGCTAATGTGAAGTGTGGAGGGGGCAGCATTTATACAATAGTGAGAGCTGGTGGAGTGCTGGGGGGAAAAGGCTGCTGATCGTGTAGATTAAGTGATCAGAATGGCAGAACAATGGCGTGTCCAACTGCCAGACTGGAAAGAACAGATAGTCCCACTGGAGTAGGGTGAGGGGAGAGAGAACATGGTGACAGAGAATGTAACAAGTAAACCTAAAAGAAAGGGAAGAAACGGGAGTGAGTTCACAATCTGAAGATGCTGAACTCAATATTAAGTGTAGAAGTTGTAAAGTGCCTAGTCTGAAGGTGAGATGTTGTTCCTGCAGTTTGCACTGTGATTCGCCGGAGCATTGCAGCATGCTGAGGACAGACACGTGGGCATGCGAGCAGGATGTTGTGTTAAAATGACCAACTATGGGAAGGTTAGGGTCATGCTTGCATATGGACCAGAGTTGTTCTGCAAAGCCAGTCTGCGTTTGGTTTCTCCAATGTAGAGTAAGCCACATTGGGTGCAATGAATGCAATACACAAGATTGGAGGAGGTACAGGTTGATTGCCCTCCTCTCCTGCCTTTGTCAGGGCTTGGAACTTCACTCCATGCCATAATTATGTGAATCATCTCTTGAGGACACAGTTAGTATAACCAGATTTATTACAAATCAATGGAACAACATTACTGAATGGATATAAAATAATTTGGAAGGGACAACCAGTAGTTGTGGTCTATATTGAAACTAAAATAGCCTGGAAAAGGTTTGTGGCTTTCCAGATGAAGTTTCAGAATCTGACATAGAAATTAAAAAGCAGGATCTGAAAGAAATTAATTTCTGGATTATTTGCAAATCATGCCCTGTCAGTAAAACAGCATTGAGATAACACTGGTTAAAATTTTTACTGGAAAAATGGTGCGGAAGGAATGGATTTAGATTCTTGTTACAGAAGAGGAGAGATCTGGACAAGATGAACAAGTCATGCTTCAGTAGAGTTGAGATCAGTTTCCTCATTAGCACTTTAACTGGTTCTGCAGCTGAGAGTTAAAACTGGTTTGAAATTGGTGGAGACACCACAGTGGAGCAGTAGAGAGGAGATTTAGTTCAAGGACTGGAAGAGACAAACAGGATCAAAATATAACTGTGGTAGAAGAGTGGACTAAGGTACTTGAGAATTCAAAGAATCAGATTACAGAGCAATAGAGGAGCAATAACACTGCTAGATATATACTTAAGACCATCAAATAATGGAAAGAAGAGAACGGAGCAGATTGATAATTAAATTGCAGAACATTTTAAGAACTATGGCTTTATATGTATAGGGCTTCAATTATCCTAAAATAGCCTGGAAAAATAAAGGGTTAAAACAGGCAAGAACCTGGAAGAGTAGAGAAAGCATAAATCCAAAGTAGGACTTCTAAGTTGGAACAGAATTGACTTCAAATAAATAAGAGGCAAAATGGAATTAAAGGTTGCTAGGAAAATGTGTAGTGTAACTAGATGACCTTTCTTCGATACAGGCTAGCTTTATTCCAACAGGGTCAAAAGGTAAGGGAACCAAACCTTGGATAATGAAGGAGATAGAGATTATAATGAATCAAAAAAAAGGGATATGATGGATATCACATGAATTCTTCAAGTGAGAAAAAATGCGCAATGTTGAATGAAGAAGTGTAGATTAGTATTTGACTGGCAAAGAGAAAATTAGAATAGAATGGCAGTTAACATTAAAAGGAATCAAAAAAATCTTCAAATGGCTTGAAAGTAGTAAGTGGCTAATGAAAAGTGAGGTAGGGTGTATTTAGAACAAAGACGAAGATGCAGAACCAGACTAGAGTATTTAATCATTACTTGTATCAACCCAAAGAAGTTGCATATCAATGAAGAAGTTGCCAACAAAAAAAAATTGGTAGTGGTAGGGATGGGAGTGGTTATTGATAGGTAGAAATTGATAGGCAGGAGAAACTGAAAAAGCTGGCTGTGGTGAAAGTGAATATGTCTTTTGGGTAACTTTTATTACAGGTCACCAAATGAAATGGGAATGGAGATAGCAAAAGTTCATGTATAATTTTTCAATCTTCCCTTGATGCTTGGTTTGGGAAAGTGCCAAAGGTTTGGGAAGTGGCAAATGTGACACCATTATTCAAGAAAGTGTGCAACGACACTCCTGTTAACTATAGGCTAGTCCATTTAACATCAGCAGGAAATGAGCAGAGGTGTTTGCCACCACCAGAAGAGAACATCTCATGCATAATTAGGACCTTCATGTTAACTGCCATTCTATTCTAAAATGATGACTTTCCCAAGGCACTAAGATGTGGCCTCCTATTTAAGAAAAGGGAATGATTCCCACCCCAAAAGAAATGCAGGAATTGCTGCCCTGCCAGCAGTGGTGATGGCTGTATACTTTGGATTTCCCACCCTCATGTTAATCCCTGGAGGTCTTCCAGTCTCCAGCTAGGTCCTGGTGACCTCTAACCTCACTTTATCCCTCTTTGAGTGTGCCTTAGTCATAGAATTGCAGTTTCCTTGAGGTTTTAGCCTCTCCACTGTCCACTGCTAATGATCAGGTTGCTGAAGCTACTGACCTACTGGTCCTGTGATTCGACCAGTACCCCAAGAGGCCAGGTCACCAGAAGAATGCCTCCCTGGCTTCCACTTCTGGTGAAGATACGTCGTGTCCCATGGGACTCGGCTTTCTGTGGTAGAATTCCTGGCTCTTCATTCAACTCATTTATCAAATTATTTTCGAGGCTTTGCTTTCTTCCATAAAAAGTATTGATTGTATTTTTGTTCTTTATCTTTGTTTTAAAGCTACCTGAACCTCATCAGGAATCGTTATTTGTGTAGCAGTGGTGAATTCTACCTGAATGCAGAAACGCGTGCAAAGCTGCATCTGTTATTTGTCTCAAATTGGACTTTAGAAAATTTGTGTCAGATACAGTCAAATATAGTGATACCTCTACTTCAATATTGGTGAGTATAGAAAATTAGAATATAAAATATTGGACCTATACTTCAAGCCATTCAAGAAGATCATGCCTGGTCTTCGTCCTCAACTGCACTACAACATTTACGTTATTTCACTTTGCATTGAAAAATTTATTGACCTCTGACTTGAGTATACTCAATGATTGAGCATCCATGACCTCTGTTACAAAGAATTCCAAACACATACAACACTTTGATGGAAGAAATTTGTCTTTGTTCTGTTCCCAGTCATTTACCTCTTATTTTGTTAGTGTGATTTGGAGAGCGCGGGTATCAGAGTAGTGATTTAGAGAGTAGGAACCGAGAGTCAGAGCAGTGTTTGAGAAAGTAGGAACCAAGAGTCAGAGCAGTGTTTGAGAAAGTAGGAACCGAGATTCAGAGTGGTGATTTAGAGAGTAGGAACCAAGAGTCAGCAGTGTTTTAAAGAGTAGGAACTGAGAGTCAGAGCAGTGTTTTAAGGAGTAGGAGCTAAGGGTCAGAGCGGTGATTTAGAAAGTGCAGGAACTGAGACTTGGAATAGTGATTTAGAGAGCGTGGGAGCTGAAAGTAAGAGCAGAGATAAAAATGAAAGCATACTATCACTGTAAAGAAGATAGATAATTGGTTGGTGAATATATCACTTTCTCCTTCTGCCTAAAAACTAGGACATCTGTTCAATTTAGAAACTGGCAAACTGAAAATGCAGGTGTGATAAGTACAGTGCCATGACTGGCATTGGTTTGCAGTAGGTTCAGAGGCATTAATTAAAATCAATTGTTTGAACTGATTGTAAAGAATGACCAAAAATGGGAACCCAACACTTATTCCTTTTCAATTACCTCACCACTTGGTTGACAGCCTCAGGACACTTCACATGTATTGGGAAACCACATAATGCTGGTGAATGAGTTGGGTTAAGTATGATGACACTCTTCCCAAACTGCTTGAAGGTGAGGCAAGGTCAAACTGATGGGAGAAGGTGTGGAAGAGGATGCAAAAAGCTTCATAAGCCATATGGATAGATGGAGAAGCTGGGATTGCTTTCCTTGCAGAAGAGAGTATGTAAGGAGAAAGCAGGAACAGGGTACTGAGTTGAATGATCAGATGTGATTATATTGAATGATGGAGCAGACTCAAATGGCCTACTCCTACATAACAAAAGGGACAGTGGCAGCACAGATCTGAAGTGAATGGGTGTTTTGTGGACTGGAAAAAGGAGTTGTGTAAGAGACTGAAATACCTGATATTTAGGAATGCCACAAGGATGTTGATACATGGACTGAGTGAGATGGGGTGCGGTGCTGGAGGAGAACAGCACAGGATCGCAAAGGAGTAAAACCTAACATCCAGATTCTCCTCATGGTCTCTGTAACAATGTGTATCAATGTTATGTGCAACCAGTTGCAGACATGATTAACTATGTCTTGTTCAATACAAAAGTCCATTCTTGTTAGAAGTGAGTGGTTTCCTCCACCACAATAAGTAATCTGCAGACCCTGCAGATTCTTAAAGTGGATTGTGGGTGAAAACTTATTCCATGCTGAGCACCAAGACTTATACAACAGGGATGATACTATAACTACTACTTTTCTTGCTACATATTAATAACTTGGGCTGCAATTTCAAAACTTGCAGTGGATACAAGACCAGGAAAAATTGTGATCTGAGGATAATGGTGATAGGCTTCAAGAGGATATACGCTGGTGGAACGATAATATATGGAGCATGAAATTTGATGCAGGAAAGTCTAAAGTAATATATTTTGTCAGGAAGGAGAGTAGAGACAGTGGAAACGAAGGTTTTAATAAAAACAGAAATTGCCGGATAAACTCAGCTGGTTTGGCAGCATCAATGAAAAGAAAGCAGTGTCAACATTTTGGGTCCAGTGACCCCTCTTCAGAACTTTGACTCTGCTTTCTCTTCACAGGTGCTGCCAGGCTTGCTGAGTTTCTCCAGCAATTTCTGCTTTTGTTCCAGATTTCCAGCATCCACAGTTCTTTGTTTTTTGAAACTAAGTGATATGTCTGCAGGGATAGAGAAATTTATGATATATGTGCATACATCATTGAAGTGCTTGAGAAAGTGGTTAAAACATCATATGGAGTTGTAGACCAATCAAGGTGTATAGTACAAAAGCAAAAAAGTTAAGATGAAGCTTTATAATACACTCCATTCAGCCTCAACTGTTGTATTGTATTCAGTTCTGGTGGCTACAACTTATGGAGAAAGTTAAGTATTTAGATAGAATGCAGAAAATATTTACAAGAATGGTTCCAGAGGTGAAGGACTTCATTTACATGGATAGATTAGAGACGATGGTGCCCAACAGAATTTGATAAACACTTAGAGATAAAAGAATTGTAAGACTACAGGAAATGAGTTAGACAGCAGAGCAAGTGAAATTGATTTTATCTGGAGCTGGCAAGAAACCATATAACCAAAAGTAAGACCAGAATTGATATGCTAAATGGCCTATTTTGCAAACACTGTGCAATAACATTATATATTGTGTACAGTCTATGTATTAACTAAAGCTATAATCAAGAAATTTTGAGCTTTGATTAATCATAGAACATTTATAATACAAAAAGGAGACCATTTGGTCATGTCGCTGCCAGTTGGTTAGATATATTGTTGATTGTTGCAGAACTCAATTAGCTACAGTTCTGTGATGGGCAAACTTGAAAATAATTAAAAAAGCAGCATTTAAAATAAATCATGATAAGAACTCAGGATTTTCCAAGTTTGATTTTGAAAAATATATTTTGAGTCTTCTGTACTTTTCACATTATTGGAGGATGAATAAATGTTCCAACTCAAACAATAAACAGTCACACCCTGCAAAGGGGAAAATAAGTAAATGGCTATTAGAATTTCCATGAATTCTAGGAAATTCTACCGTACTTGAATTTCCACAAATACATTTTTATGTAATAATTGTCTTCCACATTTTTTCAAACAAATGCAGGGGTCCAAGGTATTGTATTAACCAAGGCTTTCCCATAAGAAAAGCTGGCACTATACTGAAAGATTGGGAAGATCGTCACCTGAGACCTAAGTCGGAAATAGGTCCACCTACTAAGACTGCTATATCAATCCCAATTCGTACCAAAATTGATTGCACTCTGGAAGAGGTATCATATCAGGTTTGAAACATTCCACAGCTTCAAGCAATCATTTTTACAAATATTATCAAAAAGATTTTCAGTTTTACTGTTTCTAGTGTGCATCTGATTATTCTCCCAGATTGAAACTGTTTCCATGCAAAAAGTGGATCATAGCATAAATATCACAACAGTTTAGTTTGCACTGCCAAGCAAGTCTGGAACTTGTAAGCCGTGAAAGAAATGTGATATAGATGCAGATTTATTTCTTTACCATTTCCCACCAATTTCCTTCACCAATTTTTTGTCCTCTAGCTTGCAGAAATTGAATCTGAAATTCTGAAACTTTCACGGTGCAACTATGGTTGCATTTTGAATTGTGGGCAAACTTATGCTGAATTGCACTGGTTTTAAAATGCATTCTGAACTCAAGTAGAAATATAGCAGTAAAACTCTGAAAATGCTCGAGTTGGTTCATTAGTTTGCAGACGTTTCATTACCCTGCTGGGTAATATCATCAGTGCAGCCTCCGATGAAGCGCTGTTATGTTTTCCCACCTGTTATTTAAAAACACCACTGCAAAGAAAAACCGGAATTGAGGTAATCAAATTCAACGGATCCCAGAGTTTAAATACCAGGTGGGAAAGCTCAACAGTGCTTCATCAGAGGCTGCTCTGACGATGTTACCCAGCTGGGTAATGAAATACCTGCAAAGTAACGAACCAGCTCGGCGAGCCAACCAACCACAACATCCTCAACCCGAGCTAAAAATCTACCCAAAAACCTTAAACAAGTTAGATTTTGTTACAAGAGATAAAAAAAAGAGTTTGTGAATTTCTCTTAATTTAATTCTGTCTCGCAATATTTCCAATAGTATGACAATATCCAGGAAAAACAGTCAGCAAAGGAACTCCCAGATAGTGCAACTCACGTATCACCACATAGAAATCCACTGAAAACAGAAACAGAGAAAACGACATTCGAAAAGGTGATGGAGAGCCTTTCCGACAATCTGGTGAATAAGGAGTGAGTTAACATGCCATGCTATAATGGGGAATGGCTTGTTAAAATATAATTGCGTGAGATGGTGATAAAATAATTTTTGTCTGCATTGCATTTTTAACTTACATATTTCAATTCAAGTAAACAGAAATTAGTAGGTTAACACATGAGATCTTGCAAATTATTTTATAACGGTTAGGCTAAGTTTGGACTTGATGCCCTTGACATCAAAGCAGAATTTAGATCAGCAAGGCATCACAATATGAAGTCAAATGAGAATTAGGGGAAAACTCACCACTGGGTAAAATTATACCAAACACAAACGAAACGTATTGGAGGCCAATCATCAAAACCTTAGGATATTGCTACAGAATATTCCTGAAGTTTATATCCTAGGTCCAACCATCTTCGGTTTCTTAAAAATTAGCTTAATTCCAATTTCAGGTCAGAATTGGGGATGTTTATTGACATTCGCACTATATTCAGTCCCATTTTTAACTCCACACATAGTGAAACAGTCCATGGCTGCATACGGCATTACCTGGACAACATTCAAGTTTGGGCTGAAAACTGGCAAGTAACATCACTCCATACAAGTGTCTGATTAATGGCCCATTTCCAACAAGAGCGATATAATCATCTTCTCTTGATATTCAATGGCATCACTGAACCCTCCAGCATCATATTCTGGGGACTATCATTAGCCAAAAACTGTGGCTCTAAGAGCAGGTCAGAGGTTAGGAATTCTGTAGTGATTAACTCACCTCATAACTCTCCAAAATCTCTCCACCATCCACACGGTATTGTCAGGAGTGTGATGGAATACTCTCCATTTGCCTGGCTGAATGTCTCCACCACGTCATGAGAACTGGGCAGCTGACACATGAGAACATTATCCCCTACAAATTCCCCTCTAAGCCACTCACCACCTTGACTTTGCACTGTATTGGCTTTCCTTCAGTGTTGCTGAATGAAATCTTGTGTATATGTAAACTCAGGACTGCAGAAGTTCAAAAATTTGGCACACCACCAACACCTTATTGATGCCATTTTTGGTTAGATAACAAATGACAGCTTTGCTCGCCATGGTCGCATCTTAAAAAAGACCAATGGGAAAAGACATCCAGGATACTGTATTAAATCACAAATATCCTCGTTATTGCCAAATATTGCTGTCCATTTAGTAATGATGTCCTAACACGGTTATTAGAAATACAGTTGACAATAATTTCCATTTAGATAGCTCCATTAATTTCCAAAAGTCTTTTGCAACAATTTACAACCAACCTATATGAGTAAATAGTAGGAAAAATGGCTAAAAGCTTTGCCACAGAAGAATCTTTTTTAGGGACCACCATAAAGGAGTGCAGAGAGCTGGAGAGGCACAGAGATTTAGGGTGGAAGTTTGAAAGTCTAGCTCCTTGGCAGTTGAAGGTATGTTCATCGATGGTACAGTTATTAAGAGCCAGAACTAGAGAAACACAAATATTTCAGAGCATTGCAAAGTGGAAAGAATTTACTGATGGTGAGGATTAAGACCCAGATGGGATGTGAAAACGAGGATGAAAATTATAAAATCACAAATGAGTCATATTGAGTAACAGATTAGGTTTGTAAACATGGGGTTGATGGGTGGACAGAACTTGAGTTAGGACACTGTCAACAGCTTTGTTTGGACTTACAATTATGGAGGTTGAAAAATGGTATCAACTATTGACTTCTTTCTCACTGCTACTTTAAAGTGTTGTGATCAAATTTTGGTGGGTATACTGGGATTGTACCATATCACAATGGAATAGGCTGAAAGGTTAAGATAAAAACTGAAAGAATTGCAGACACTAGAAATCAGAAACAAAAACAGAAATTGCTGGAAAAGTAACGGGTCTGGCAGTATCTGTGGAGAGAAATCAGATTTAACATTTCAGGTCCAGTGACGCTTCCGCAGAACTGATGGTAACTTGGAAAACTCGGTTTTTATGCAGAAGATAGGGTGGAGGTAAGGAGTAAACGATAGGTAGAGTTAGAGCCCAAAGAGAGAGAACAGTTGAACAGACAAAGGAGTGGACAATGATCAGCCTAGACGAATGAATAGTTACTCATGGGGATTACTAGTGAATAACAATGGATTGTGTGTAACAGCAGGCCATGGCCTGTTTTGTGGAAGTTGGAGTAAGGATGTGGGAGAAGGTGCCTCACACCCTAAAATTGTTGATCTCAATATTGAGTTTCGAAGGCCGTAGAGATCCCAAGTGGAAAATGAGGTACTGTTTTTCCAGCTTGCCATGAGTTTCACTGGACATTTGCAGCAAGCCTGAGACAGAGATGTTGGCCAAAGAACACAGCCGTGTGTTGACGTGACAGGCAACTGGGAGCTCAGGGTCTTTATTGAAGACAGAGCGTAGGTGGTCTGCAAAGCGGTCACTCAGTCTACACTTCATTTCCCCAATGTCGAGGAGACCACATTGTGAGCAGCGAATTCACCAGACTAGATTATATGAAGTGCAAGTAAAATGTTATTTCATTTGGAAGCTGTGTTTGGGCCCTTGATGTGCTGAGGAGGGAGGAAGTAGACAGGCAGGTGTTACAGCTTCTGTGATAGCAGAAGAAGGTGCGATGGGGCTGTGGGGGGTGTGTTGGGATTGAAGGAGGAGTGGACCAGGGTGACCCGAAGGGAATGGTCCTTGCAGAAAGCTGACAGTGGAGTGGTGGTGGCATCCCATTGGAGGTGGCGGAAATGGTGGCTAATGATCCTCTGGATAAAAACTGAAAGAACTGTGGATGCTATAAGTAGGGATTGTTGGGAAATCTTAGCAGGTCTGGCAGCACCTGTGAAGAGAAATCAGAGTTAACATTTTGGATCCGGTGACCCTTCTTCAGAACTGATGGTAGCTAGGAAAATGTCTTCTTCAACCGAAGATGCTCCAGCTTCATTGTTGACAAGGCCTTCAAATGGGTCCGACCCATCTCCTGCACTTCCGCCCTCAAACCCCTCATCCCTCCCGCAACAGTGATAGGGTTCCCGTTGCCCTTACCTACCATGCCACCAGCATCCACATCCAGAAGATCACCAGCTGCCATTTCCGCCACCTCCAGCAAGATGTCACCACCAGACACATATTCCCCTCCCCTCCCTTCCACAGAGATGGTTCCCTCCGGGACATCCTAGTCCACTCTTCCTTCACTCCCAATACCCACCTACAGCCCTACGGCACCTTTCCCCGTAACCACCGAAGGTGTAACACCTGCCTATTTACCCCCTCCCTTCCCAGTATCCAAGGAGCCAAACTTACCTTCCAGGTGAAGCAGCGCTTTACCTGCATTTCCACAATCTAGTCTACTGCATTCGCTGCTCACAATGTGGTCTCCTCTACACTGGAGAAATGAAGCATAGACTGGATGACCACTTCACAGAACATCTACATTTTACCCATGAAAAAGATTCTGAGCTTCCAGTTGCCTGCCACTTTAACACACCACCCTGTTCCCTGGTCACCATCTCTGTCTCAGGCTTGCTTAGTGTTCCAGCAAAGTTCAATGCAAGCTGGAAGAACAACACCCCATTTTCCACTTGGGGATCCTGCAGCCCCCCAGACTCAATATTGAGTTCAATAATTTTAAGGCCTAAACTCTTCCATGTCCCAGCCCCCTACCCCACACACCAGGCCTCATTATCACACAGCCTGCTATTACACACCCACTGTTGTTAGTCACTAACAATCCTCATTAACAGCTATTCATCCTCCCAGCCCGTTTATTATCAATTCATTTGTCTATTCAAGTGTTGTTGCCTCTCTTTGGGCTCTATCCTTACCTTTCATTTACACCTTACCCCGTCTCCCCATCCTAACCTCTGCCTATAAACCGATGTTTTCCCAGCTACCATCAGTTCTGAGGAAGGGTCACCGGACCCGAAATGTTAACTCTGATTTCTCTTCACAGAAGGTGCCAGACCTGCTGAGCTTTTCCAGCATACTCTGTTTTTGTTAATGATCCTCTGGATGTGGATGCTGGTGGGATGGTAGATGAGGACAAGGTGGATCCTATCACTATTGTGGGAGGGAAGAGAGGTGGTGAGGGCTGAAGTGTGGGAGATGGGTTTTACCTGGCTGAGGGACCTATCTACTACGGTGCTGGGGAATCCTCAGTTGAGGAAGAAAATGGACATTTTGGAAGCCCCCTTGTCGAAGTTGGCATCATCAGACCAGATGCAATGGAGACAGAGGAACTAGGTGAATGGGAAAGAGTCTTTACAGGAAGTAGGATGTGAGAGTGTGTAGTCAAGGGGATGTGGAAGTTGGTTGGTTTGTAGTGGATATTTGTGACCAACCTATCCCCAGAAATGGAAACAGAGACTTCGAGGAAGAGAAGGGAGGAGTCAGAGAGGGACCGGGTGAACGTGAGGGCAGGGTCGAAATTGGAAGAGTGCTCCTCCATCAACACTGAAGAAGTGTTGTTGAAACACCCATCCAAGGCAAAGCAGCCTCCTTCATTGGCACTCTATCCAGCAACTTCAATATTCATTCATAGAGTCATATAGCATGGAAACAGACCCTTCAATCCAACCAGTCCATGCCGAACATAATCCCAAACCAAACTAGTCCTGCCTGCCTGCTTCTGGCCCATATTCTTCCAAACCTTTCCTATTTATGTACTTGTCCAAACATCTCTTAAACATTGTAATTCTGCCCACATCCACCACTTTCTCAGGAAGTTAATTCCACATGCGAAATACCCTCTGTGTAAAAAATTTGCCCCTCGTGTCTTTTTTAAACCTCTCTCCTCTCATCTTAAAAATGTGCCCCTTAGTCATAAAATCCCCAGTCCTAGGGAAAAGACACCTACCATTAACCCTAGCTATACCTCTCATGATTTTATAAACTCCTATAAAGTCACCTCTCAACCTCCTATGCTCCAGTGAAAAAAGTCCCAGCCTATCCAGCTTTCTTTATAACTCAAACCTTTCAGACCTGACAACACCCTGGTAAA